TTCCATCCTCATTCCCCTTCTACGTACTGATGACCATATTTATTATATAATGAAGACATTTTTTCCACTTTAGTTAAATTGGCAATAACATTAAGTATGTAAACCACCTTTGAGCCATTTGTAGATGCAAATGGAAAGAGCTTCCTTTTTAATTTGGCTCTAATGTAAATGTAGGAAGGCATAGTATTCTGGTGTTTCATCTTAATAACTTCTCACATCCTCTACCAATAATATATCCACCCTGTCCATGCCGATGTTGTTTGAAAAATGCTCATTGTCTGAAAATTGAACATGCTAGGAACGGGGTGGAGATATTATTGGCAGAGGGAAGGAAAATTTAACAGGATGAAACACTCTAATACGATTCCCTGCTACATTTACATACTTACCAAATTGAACAGGGAACCTTTCCATTTGCATCTGCAGATGGGGCAAATGTTTTTTTCATGCTTAATGTTATAGCCAATGCATCTGAAGTGGAAAGAGTTTCCGCATTTACCAGTAAATATGGCCTTACCACTCTCATCTTTCATCCGTGTTCCCCTTCAATGTACTCTTGGCCATATTTACTGTAGAATACACACATTCTTTCCACTTTAGCTTAAATGGCAATAACGTTAAGCATGGAAACCACATTTCCCAATTGGCATATGCAAATGGTAAGATATCCCTTTACAATTTTGTGTTGATGTAAATGTAAGAGGGAATGTATTCAGGCGTTTCATCCTGTTAACTTCTCTCGTCCTCAACCAATAATATCTCCACCCCGTCCATGTTGATGTTGTTTAAAAAAGGTTCATCATCTAAAATTTAAGGTTGGGGATGGGGTGGAGATGTGTTTGGTAGAGGATGAGAGAAGTTAACATGATGAAACACCCGAATACAATGTCCTCCTACATTAACATTAGTACCAAATAGAAAAAGGGAGCTCTTTCCATTTGCAATTGCAAATGGGGCAAATGTGTTTCTATGTTTAAAGTTATTGCAAATGCACTAGAAGTGGAAATAGTGTTTGCATCTAACAGTAAATATGACCGCACCATTCTCAGTTTTCATCCTTATTCCCTTTCTAGGTATCGATAACCATATTTACTGTAGAACTCTTTCCACTTTATCTACATTGGCAATAACATTAAGCATGGAAACCACATTTGCCCCATTTGTAGATGCAAATGGAAAGACCTCCCTTTTCAATTTGGTACTAATGTAAATGTAGGAGTAGATCATATTGGGGTATTTCATCCTTTTAAATTCTCTCGTCCTCTACTAATAATATCTCCACCCCGTCCATGGTGATGTTGTTTGAAAAAGGTTACTCATCTTAAAATTGAACATGCTGGGGACGGGTGGAGATATCATTAGTAGAGGACGAAAGAAGTTAACAGGTGATAAGGGATCTCCTTACATTTACATCTCTAAATAGGGAAAAAGTTGTTTCCATGCTTAACATTATTGCCAATATATACAACTAAAGTTGAAAGAGTGTTTGCATTCAACAGTAAATATGGCCAACGGTACGTAGAATGGGAACAGGGATGAAGGCTTAAAATGGTGAGGCCATATTTACTGTTGAATGCAGACACTCTTTCCACTTTAGATGCATTGGCAAAAATGTTAAGCATGGAAACCACATTTGCCCTATCTGCAGATGCAAATAGAAAGAGCTCCCTTTTTCAATTCGATACTGATGTAAACATAGGAGGGCATCGTATTCGGGTGTTTTATCCTATTAAATTCTCTCGTCCTCTACCAATAATATCCATACCCCATCCCTAGAATATTAATTTTCAGATGATGAGCCTCTTTAAAACAAGATTGGCACAGATTATACCACCCCACCTTCGATCTTCATGGGATATTTATCTGAATTTCCTACAGTTGCTCAAAATATGCAAAAACTTGCAGCTCTTCTTAGAGTAAGGGCACCACCACTAATGGTTTGGAACCTAAAACGTGCACATATTGACCTAGTTACGGTACTAGATGTCAGTGGGAACATGAATGGAACAAAGTTGACTCTCTTAAACAAAGCAATGTGCCTTGTCATAGAGAACTTATGGCCTTTCGACCAACTTTCTATTGTTACTTTCTCATCTATAACTCATAAAAGCTTCCTGTTATGATGGACTATCGAACAAGAGAATCAAAATTGTATTGGCTATAAATGGTATTTCATTAAATTGTGGGATTGAAAAAGGACTCAAGATGGGGGATCGTGTCCTTGAAGAGAGGCATGAAAAGAATCCAGTTGCGAGTATCATTCTCTTGTCTGTTGGTAGAGACACCTATAATGGTGATACCATGAACCAACACATCATAAATCAAAACCTTAGATCCTCAAAGCCAATATTGATCCCTTATCTGAATCGGTTTCCTTCTTCCATTCATTTTTGCAATAGACAAAAGGCAGTGTGTATGTCAACTTTCCCTGTTCATACTTTTGAGTTCAGTTCAGACCATGATTCTTCTTGCATCAAGCAACACATTTTCATTTATTGAATTGTTTGTTACTGTTCAAGATGCCTTTGCAATGTGTATTGGTGGTATCCTTAGTATTGTATCCCAGGAGTTTCAACTTAGCTGCATAGCAACATCACCTGCTGTAAAGAATGTTTCCATATCTTCGGACATATATGTAAGTGAAATTTCTGAACATCAAGAGAAAGCTGTAATTACCATTGGGGATATATATGCACACGAGGAGAAAAAACTTCTTGTATACTTGCCTATCCCCTCTGTTAAAACTACTCAAGTTGTGGAAACATCTCTCTTAAAAATGGTAAGTTGTTACAATAATACTGTGTCCAATGAGATGATAATTGTAGAGGGTGAGACAACTAAGACACGTCGGCCTCTTCCCTCTAGTGTTGTCTCTCACCGATGTTATTGTAAGTCTGGAGGTTGATAGACAGATAAACTGGATAGAAGTAACATAAGCAACACAAGAAGCATAAGATATAGAAAAGATGGGGGATCTTGAGGGTGCATGATTCATGGCTCTGATAACTAACATAAGGTATTCTCTTTTATCTCCAGTATCTTTCCAAGCAGGTGATGGTCTTTGTAACAGGCTGACATGGGGTTGAGATATTATTCGCAGAGGATGAGGAAATTTAACATTATGAAACACCCGAATACAATGCCCTCATACATTTACATCAGTACTAAATTAAAAAGGGAGCTCTTTCCATTTGCATGTGAAGATAGCAAAGGTAGTTTCAATGATTAGTGTTATTGCAATACATCTGAAATGGAAAGAGTATTTGCATTCAGCAGTAAGTATGGCCTCACCATTCTTAACTTTCATCCTTGTTCCCCTTCTATGTGTCGATGGCCATATTTACCGCAAAATGCAGACAGTTTTTCCACTTTAGCTAAAATTACAATAACATTAAGCATTAAAACCGCCTTAGCCCCATTTGCAGATGCAATTGGAAAAAAATGATCCCGTTCCAATTTCGTACTGATGTAAATGTAGGAGGGCATGGTATTCAGATATTTCATCCTGTTAACTTCTCTCATCCATTTCCACCCCGTCCATGTCGATGTTGTTTGAAAAAGGTTCATCATCTTAAAATTGAACATGTCGGGGATGGGGTGGTGATTTATTGGTAGAGGACGAGAGAAGTTAATAGGATAAAACACCTAAATACGATGCCCTCCTACATTTACATCAGTACCAAATTGAAAAGGGAGCCCTTTTCCATTTGCATCTTCATATGGGGAAGAGGTGGTTTCCTTGCTTAACATTTTTGCCAATGCATCTGAAGTGGAAAGAGTGTCCACATTCAGTAGTAAATATGGCCTCACCATTCTAAACTTTCACCCTTGTTTTCCTTCTACGTACTGATGGCCATATTTAGTGTAGAATGTAGACATTCTTTCCACTTTAGCTGCATTGGCTATAAAGTTAGGTATGGAAACCACTTTTGCTCCATTTGTAGATGCAAATATAAAGAGCTCCCTTTTCAATTTGGTACTAATGTAAATGAAGAGGGCATCATATTTGGGTATTTAATCCGGTTAAATTCTCTCATCCTTCATCAATAATATCTCCACCCTGTCAATGTCGATTTTGTTTGAAATAGGCTCATCATTTGAAATTGAACATGTTGGGGATGGGCTGGAGATATTATTTGTAAAGGACAAGAGAAGTTAACGGGATGACACATTCGAATATGATGCACTCCTACATTTACATCAGTATGGAATTGAAAAGGAAGCCCTTTCTATTTGCATCTCTACAAATGAGGCAAAGGTTAATTCTATGTTTAACGTTATTGCCAATGCCTCTAAAGTGGAAAAGTTGTCTGTATTCAGAAGTAAATATGGCCTCAACATTCTCAACTTTCATCCTTATTCCCCTTCTACGTACCGATGACCATATTTACTCTAGAATGAAGACACTTTTTCCACTTTAGCTTCATTAGCAATAACATCAAGTATGGAAAAATAGCTATCAGCGAAGAGAAATCTGGTCCCTAAAAAGCTGATTCTAGTCCCTAAAAGTCAATAGCGACCAAAAAAACTGGTCGCTTCCCGTCCCTATAGGTCTCTTCGCTAAAAGTCAGTAGCGACGAGTTATTGTTACTGGTCCCTAAAGGTCTTTGGGGACCAGGTTGAGTCTGGTCGCTAAGACATCTTTAGGGACCATATATCTGGTCCTTAAGTTGTTGTTTTGTACCACTTTTTATGGTATTTATAGACTTATAGCGTCCACATTCTCTGGTCCTAAAAGACATATTAGGACAAGGCAACTGATCAGTATAAGTTTTATATTGTAGAAATATTACTGTTTATAATATAAAACTTCAATTGCATAAAGACAATAGATCAATCATGGCATGCCTTCATATTTATATAAGCAGTTACAAAAATCAGATTAACATCCCATAAGTAGCAATGTAGCATTCTACAACCCAACATTAGTCATTACATTAACTATACGAAATTTGAAAAGTTGTCAAACTGTCTCGGCATGATGATAATCTCATCTTCGCTTTTGGTCGGAGACTTGTAAATTCATCAAATCATCTAAACCCTGTCAAAGACATAATAAATATTGTTCATAACTACTAAAAATTCCACTAGAGAACTGAAATTAAACATAGTTTAGACCATCTAATAGATCAAAATTTCAACTTGCCAATTTAAACGTTGCACTCAATTCTAAAGCAATGTTCTAAGAAATACATAATCTTTCATCTATAGATGAACATGTAGCTGCAAATTTATGGACAAAATATCAATGATAAAAGTAGAGTATATACTTTCTAATATGTTAAGTCATACAAAAAAACATAGATAGAACAAGTAGTAAGATAGTAACATCTACCAAGTCTAGGAATAGATAACATGACTACATGTTTTTAGAATTAAATCGACATTATATGTATGAACATTTTTTAAAATTAATGATTGATTGTTGTGTTAGTAGATAATGCACTTCACAAACATGGTATGTGATTGAAGGTCCAAATGTTGCTACAATCAACGTAAATATAATAGAAAGAGAAGGGCTGGCAGAACTTGATATTGCTTCCTTGAATTTCATCCAAGTCCACTTTGACTTGAAGGGAAAAGAAAAAGATTTTCTAGATAAGAAAATAAACCTAAAGGCTCAATTTAGGGGAAAAGCAGATCTCTAACTTTTGGAGGTTTTCATACATTCCCTCATGAAGCTTAGCCTCATTGTACCGAAATCCATAGGTTCTTTAATGATTTCATTTCATAGTAATCTTCAACCGTAAAAGAAACAGAAGATGTAATTTATTAAGAATACCTGGCCTTCAAAAACCAAAGCCAATCATAAGACCAATAGAACCTCAGCGCGATCAACTGGTTCTGCAAATATTTAATAGGTATTCATCCCTCCTAACATAAAAATACACACAAACAAAGTAGTAAGATGTATAATGTATTTCTTATTGTACACGTAATGTGATAAATATCAAACTTAATATAATATAAGGATGCTGCAACCATTGCAGAATGTCAAGAATAAGTTCTAGAATACTTCTTTTTGGCAACTTTGTTGGTTTACCTGATAGAATCCAAAGTATGAATTAAAACTTTGAAGTTGATGCTTCTAAATAAATAAAATACAACAAGAAAGATCATTAAGTTCATACTACATACAATGGTCTATCCTTTAACGCCATTTTAATCTAAGGTAAAATATTATTCATCGATATTTTTTCCCTATCGAGAACACATTAGGCAGTTTTGTCCCCATGTTTTTGTTCAGCAGAAGTATCAACTTGGATAGCAGGCAAAGAAATAAAGTGCAGCAGAACCTGCAACCATTGCAGAATGTCAAGAATAAGTTCTAGAATACTTCTTTTTGGCGACTTTGTTGGTTTACCTAATAGAATCCAAAGTATGAATTAAAACTTTGAAGTTGATGCTTCTAAATAAATAAAATACAACAAGAAAGATCATTAAGTTCATACTACATACAATGGTCTATCCTTTAACGCCATTTTAATCCAACGTAAAATATTATTCATCAATATTTTTTCCCTATCGAGAACACATTAGGCAGTTTTGTCCCCCTTTTTTTGTTCAGCAGAAGTATCGACTTGGATAGCAGGCAAAGAAATAAAGTGCAGCAGAACAAAATAGAGAAAATATTGGTAAGTTTTTGATGATTTTGAAAACTCAATTGAAAGTTGATACAGAAACAAAGTGGACATAAACCTCCTTCCTTAAATTTGTATTATAATGCTTGATAATTGTATTGAGTGCTATATTTAACATACAAATTGTCTAACGGAGCTCGAAATATAGTAAATCTTGTAATACTTCTCCCATAGGTAACTAGAGTTTTTCATGATTCTTTCTTTTCATTTAGCAAATCTGGTGATGCTCCTTATGTTTTCATTGTAGCAGGGGAGTCCTAACCATTCAGTTTGCATTCCTCAGGACCCAGTATAACTTCATCAAGCATGAATGGTACACAAGGGTAGGTACTAGGACACTCAACTGTTAGTTATACTGGCACTATACATGTACTATCTTTCCAGTTGTCTAGCATCTCTCCATGAGACTATCTTAATACTTGCCTCTAAATGTTTCAATGAGAGCAGTAGTGTCCTAAAACTTCTCTACTTTATAGATTTACATTTGAGATGCATTTTCTCTGTTGAATTTTAAAATTGGTCCAAGTGCAGTCATGTATTTGATTTAACAATGCCTATAGTGTACTTTATGATGTATATATACAACTCCATGAGGCAAGGTGTGTATCAAGGAGATTCCTAAGAAAAAGCTGAAATTATATACATGTTAGTCTTATAATATATTTTATCAGCCATGAACTACAAAGAATTTAAGTCAGAAGTCTCTTGCACTTATTATTTCTTTGCAAAAGTTATCTAGTAACGCTAAGAAAAAAGAAGTAATCTTACACTGTAAAGCACGAACAAAAAAGAAGTAAGCTTACACTGTAACGCACGAACTATTAACAGCTTGACATAGCAAACAATGTAAGAAATTAGTCCAAAGATTTTTACAACATTTAAGAATAGTTGAACTTTCACTCTGTTATTTAGA